CTATTAGTAAAGAGATTAGTATTCATATCAATACGAATATACTATTGGTATTCGTAGGAGTATTAATGTTGATATTAGAATTATGACTATTCATAGTCGTATTAGCCATAATTTAAGTGTTCTTGCTGGTAATAGTACTGGCATTCATGAATATTCAACAGATTATCAACATCCGTATCAGTGTTGGTGATAGCATTATTGTTAACACCACAGTTTGAGTATTGGCATAGGCACCAAAACATGGCGACAGTGACAGGCAACATGTTGAAGTTTTTGCACAACAACCGGTGATGCCTCCTGAAACATGGAGTGCCAGGTTTTGGATGGAAGAGCGGAGCCCGAAAGTGAAATCAGAATCCGTTTCGGGTTTCGTGGGGATATAACATGTGAGAACAAATTACAACATGTAGAGCTAAGTAGATGCTAGGTGCAGAAAATACCGCAAATACCGATGATTTTGTATGTAGGTGAAGTCATGTAGAAATCGAAGCATGAGCAGCAGGAGGTAGAAAAAACCATGGTATGGATCATGGGGGGGGGGGCGTGACCACATATATATATATATATATATATATATATCATGAATCTACATGTTCGCCTCCGGCCTGGCCAGGCCCGACCCCCCGCTCGAAGCCCCGGGCCTTGGACCGTCCCTTTGGGCCGGCTTGTTGGAAGGCGGGCAGGGTGGGCAGAAAAATAGTCCGAATAGTTTTAAGGATAGTATGAGTGGTGATAAGAATAGCATGAATTGTAGTAAGACTAGTATGAATAGTAAAATAGTAACCAAAACTATCCTAAGCCCGGATACCCTCATACCCTAAATAGACCCGCACACCCCGATAATAGGGGCAGCAAAGCGAAGTTATGTGTAGCTAGCGGTAACAAATGGCCAGGAACGTATCTGGGAATTGCGCTGTTGCGGTTGGCGGTAGCCGGGTAGAGCTTAAAATGCCAGTTCTGCTTATGCCAGAGTCGTATATCCTACTCCGGAAAGAGCACAGCAGGCGGTCCAAGCCACCCCAAATATACAGGCTTGCGAATCTAGAGGCCTGAGTAATTGGCAATAGTAGTCCTTTGGGGCTCCTTCTTGTAACCGTTCTGTAACATGCCCCAAACCCTACAGTATTTTTATTTGCTAAGGCCCTTATAGGATCTCTTATAGATGTTACTAAATGGACGCTTGCTCTGACTATTAGAAGTTAGTTTTCGTTTTAGCTCTTCAGCATCTCACCAGGACCGGCCAGCCGTTCGCCGGCCAGAGCCTCGCAGGGGTGCTCCGGGGCACCGGGAAGCCATGAATCGGAAAATTGTTTTCTATGGGTTTTGATGGGTTTTGTCATGGACCTAAACATCGCTCCAGCTAAATAACCATTTCCCAGCACCTAACGATTGCAGCTGCGAGTGCATGGGGGAAAGTAGGAACCGACTTCTTTCCCGAAGCACTCCCCGGAGCTGCTCGGGAGTGCACGTCAGCAGCGGTATTGATACGGAAAGACTCGGTAAGAAAGAAGATACCACGTCAGGCCCAGGAGAAGTAGGTAAAGGCGGTATTTGAGCTCTGCATGAATCAAGTTTCTTTTGAAGAGTTACACAGGTCTGAGGATTCCTTCCGTCGGTCCGTCAAGGGGCTTCTGATTTGTTTACAATAATCAGCACGAGTTCTGTTCGGCCTACGCGGCCTGCTTGAGAGTCATCTTTGTGCAGAATTCGGAGTTGATGGGTACCGGAAGAATATGGGGTCGGCCTTTTCAGGAGGATCTATGGTGGTAATTGCTCAGTGCCACCATTACCATATGCCATATGCGTTTGTGGGTGCTGTTAGTGTCAGGTTTCGGTTGAAGCGTAGTGTTACTATATTTTTACTGTAACAGCTCATGTTGAACAATGCGTGTCAGCCTGGGCATGTCTAGCGCTGGCAGGACTGCGCACGTGTCTCAACAACACAGGCTGCGCAAAATCTTGACTAACCACGAATCAGTTTACCGTCGTGCACAAGAGCATGCTGCATCATGTCAAGTTGTAGCCCTCCACGTTGGTCGATGCAACAATGACATCCTTCGAAGTGATGCTAGCACTATCTTATAAGGGTGGTATGTAATCACATCCGGATTCGGAGCAAGAACAATGAGGTTCCGGGTAGAACGTATGAAAATGGCATTCATCATCCTTATAAGGACGAAATGAGCCCTGCAAGGGTTTGCCGTCCATATACCTTATAATAGGGGCTCGTAGTAGAGTGTAGAAATGGTATAAACCATAAGCCTTCAACCCTAAAGCCCCTGCACCCTTAAAGTAAAAGCCAGAAAGTTGGAATATGATTATCCTAAGCCCTTTATGGTAAGTTACAGGTATCCTACCCCTGAAGCCATACTCCAACTTTCTGGAGTTCCCTGTAACCCTAAACCCTGCGTTTAGGGGTCCTTTGACCGAGGTCTCGGGCTGATTGCAAAGTGCCTCTCAGCCCCTCACGCGCCTTCGACGGCTCGCGCAATTCTCGAGTGGAAAACTGCGGGGCGTGTTTGAAGTATGACGGTTTTGAGAAATAGGGTTCGTTTTTAATCTCATTCCCGAAACCGCGTGGTGACACTATAGGGCTCGTAATTACGTTCAGAGTGGTTGTTGCGTTGCTTCGCCCAACCGCAATGCATTCGCCTTCAACAACAAGCTACAGTAAACCCTGCAGCCATAAGACCCTACAATGGTGCTAGCCCAAACGCTAAACGCAGAATCCTTTCAGTCTCCACCCCTGTCCTTAAAACCCCCTCCAATTCCAGTTTCCGGGAGGCGGCGCAGCCCGCAACCAGGCCTATCGCCCGATCGCGCAGTTTGAGGGTCAAGGGTTTTGGGATTATAGGGTCTAGATTGGGTGCTATACGGGTTAGGCTTAGACTTAGAACTCTGAGGTTTGGGGTGCAGGTTCGGACTTTCGGACTTGAAGATCTGACTTGGATGCTTGGATGGCACTGTTGCTGCAAAGGCTCTCTGCGATATGTTCACGAACCTGTTGCCTGAAAGTTGGTGATGACCCATACCCCTTCGATAGAGGGGTGGGGGGGGTGTTGTTCTCCGATTTAGAGAACAACAACCCCCTCCTGTTCTTATTCCCCTCCCATTGAGTCGAACAACCCCCCCTGTTCTGGTTCTTTTATTGATTTGAACAACATCCCCCCCCTGTTGTTCTACCCCCCCCCCCCCCCCGCCCCCCCTGTTCTTCGAGCACGAACAACAACACCAACCTTTTTCCCTGTTCTCTTTTTGTCGAACAACCCCCCCCTCCTTCTTTTGAGCGGAGCAACCACCCCCGCCCCCACCTGGCATTGACTCGAACAACAACCCCCCTCCCCCCTCCCGTATTGTTACTCCCTCCGCTCCCCCCGTGCCCACGCCGGGCTACCGGATTGCTGTCCTCACTTATCTACCACACATTCCCTCATTTGGCGATTTCGGCTCCTGCTTTGTTTGCAACACACCCCCTCACTTGGCGATTCCGGTTCATCGTACATCTTAAACACGCCACCTCATTTGGCGTTTCCGGTTCCTCACACTACCCAAACACGCCGCCTCCTAAGCGATTCTGGCCAATCATATATCTTAAACGCGCCTCCTCATTTGCAGAATGGCTTTCAAAAGAGCAAACTCCTTTACTTTGAAGCGGGCTTGCAAGGCTTACAAAATCACAGGATTCAAAAACACCCCCAGGCTTTGAAGCAAGCTTGGACGGCTTAAAAAGCGGGGGGATTGGGGGCAGCTCTCAAACCGACGCGTCCAAGTGCGCGGGGGCGGGCCCTGCAGTTTCAGGCAGGGGGCGAAGGTTCGGAGTGTTTTGCAAGATGGTTAATTTGATTAAATTAGTTGCTCTGTGCTGCATGGTCCAGTGTTGTGGTGCTACCCACACCTTTGCCATGATGCAACAGAATCACTCTTGTGAGCCACCAGTTCTGCAGAGCTGTGATTTTAGTTAATCATACTCGAGCCCCAAGCACCTGCATGATGTAGCTAAGATGTCCTTGTAGAAGGTAGATGAAGAGCAGCTTGACGCACACGAACGTATTTGGCTCAAGACACAAAACAAGCGTGATCACTACCGTGTCTTGAAATCATTGATTGCTTTGCAATTAACTGGTTAACAGCCTCAGCTTAGCTTGGTGTAGGTAGTGTAGGATCCTACCGACGCCATAGCACCTTCCGTGTCGCTCCCTTAGGGTAGAGCTCGTAATCGGTTCGCCGTAGGTCTAGCAAAGACCTGCCCACTTCCATACTACTTTCCATATCCTGCACTGTCAATCTCCTGGGGTTAGAGCCAGAACCCTACAGTTGAGATCCCCAACCAGAGCGTACATCGCAGCCTGGTTTTGCACATTATCTGTGAGGTCCAAATCCGCTGCGTGAATCGCCTGCTTGCTCAGGCATCCGCGTGGTAACCTTCTTCGGGTTTCTCAAAGCCCTGCCTTAGCACCTCTCCCGTAGTCCCGTTCACGGACGAAGGAGGCCAGGCCTTGTGGTGCAACAGGCGATCCAGTAGAGAACAGAACACAACCGCAACGTGTCAGGAGTGCGATTGCATCCCAGCAACCCTCCTGTAAGAGTTCCGCTGAGATTGGAGGTTGATTGAGATTTCTGGTTTGGGTTAGCGTGGGTGTTTCCCGTGCTCGGCCTTTGAACCGCTTCCTCAGTCCCTCATCCCAGCTGTAGACTGCCTCGGCAGCACAGCACAACAGCCAAAGGCAAGCACAGAATCAATTCCAAATCCCTTCGGCTCTTAGTCTGCCAGCCAGGGGGTATTCCTAGTTGACAGTTGTTCATCTGGGTTGTCAGTGGGTAATCAAGGAGGTTATCCGGATTAAGCTTTCAGAGGCAAGGCATTGAGGCGTGCTTACGCAGCCAACGGGGGATAATTGGGTAAGGCCTTGAGAAGAGCCTTACGGCAGGGTTGACGAGCATCCACCGGGTTTGGGTTAGGTGTTCGTTGGCCAACAATTTTCCTCTGAAGTCGTCACTGCATGGGTGAGCGCGGAGGCCTCACTCCTGAGTCGCGGTTTGCATTGTACGCGGCCCTATTGCTTGGCGAGGAGAAGAGGGGAGGTGGCGGCTCTAGTGGAAGAGCAAGGCGTTCACTTCACCTTAAGATTATTGGAGGATACGCTTCACAGTTGCGCGAGCTTGCTGTGTTGAGTGGGGCGGATAGGGAGAACCTTGGGACTGCAGACAGCTACGTCTCTTGGTTGAAGCAGAACACGCCAGAGCGTGGCACTGCTCTTCCGTCCTTTTTGGCTTCGGAGGTTCCACTTTTCCCACGGCATACTGAATCGACGCCAATCACTCCGGGCCCTGATAATACATCCTCCAATACAATCTCCGGGGCTGTACCCGTGAGCGCTACTGCTGCGTCTTCGCCATCTAGCGTTCCTGGTAATACAATCTCCGGGGCTGTACCCGTGAGCGCTCCTCGAGAGCCATCGTATCCACCGCCTTCGATTCGTGCCTTGGGTACTAATTCGGAAAGGGTTGCGGGATCTTCAGGGCTAGAGGCTTCCGGGTCGCTAAGTGTTCTTCCGAGTGGGAGAAATTTGCCGCCCCAGCCTCCTGTTCCAAAAGCTAAAACAGGAGTCACGCCATCTACTGCACCAAACGTCGGACCATATCTCACGCTCGGACAGCGAGCAGCGGTTATCTCACCTAACAATCCGTTGCTTCGTGTGCGGTCGAGATCTCCACCACGGTCCTCTTCGATCCCATTTGGATCGGCAGGTAGCGGGGTTGGACCCGAGAGGGAGCGCGAGGCAGCCGAGGAGATTCTTGAATCAGCCGAGGAGGCTGCGGAGGAGTCTCTTGATTCAGGTGCGGCTGCAAGCAGCGGGGTTGGACCCGAGCGCGCGACAACAGGCAGCGGGGCTGGACCCGAGAGGGAGTTGAGGTTCCGACCTGTGGCGCGTCAGGTGACTTCGCTTAAGGTTGCGGAGGGATTGCTTCCGCCGGGTACTTCTGTGCTGCTGTCATTGGACATTCATTTGGTCGCTGACCGCGACGAGGCGAGGACATCTGCGTGCCTTGAGAGACTCTTGCGAGAGCACTCGGACTTGGCTGTGATTTTCTGCTCGTACGCGGTGAAGCAAAAGACCATTGATAAGGCGGTCCAGTGTATCCACCGTATTTGTGATCGGACGATTGTGCGGCGCCCTTTGACCTTTCCCATTTTCTTCACGACATCCAAGACTGCGCCGGGCACAGGCAAAGGAGCACAATTGTCTAAGTTGGCGGATATCTTTAGCCGGTCGCGCCCCGCTCCACTGACTTTTTTGTATCACGTGGACGATCAAGATCCGATTTGCAAGAACGTGACATCCTACGGCCATCACGGTGTGCATTGGGCGGAGGAGGACCCGCGTGCTTTGGATCAGATCGTGTGGGAGCTCTGCTGGCTCTAGCCGCCGACTGGCAAAACAGAAAGGCAGAGGAAGACTGCAAACGCAGCTCCTCGGGGTTGGGTTCGTGTTGAGGGTCAACTTTGACGGTTGGGGTGAAGTATTTTTACAACCCTTAGACCTCGGTTGAACCGCTGTTCCCATAATGCCTCTAGCATCACAACTGGGATTCGAAGAATCCTCACTGGAAATTTCATCGTCAAGCACGCCCCCTAGGGCTCAAGCACTTAGCGTGCGCCCGGAGGCAGCTAGGCAGTCGGATTCATCAAGTTCGGGGCCGATTCGGAGGAACCGGGCTAGATCATTGTCGTATGGACCCGCATCGAGGTCTTCATCCCTGCAACCGGCACCAACCTTTGCAGCGAATGTTGGCCCTGCCCGTAGTCAGAACCCAACCGGCCCGAACACGAGCCATCAGGAGTTGCACTTGCATCAACATGCCCATCGGCAGCAGGTCCTTCAGGTTGGGGTTGACCCGGTAGCCCATGCGAACATGCAATCCGAAGCAACATCAGCCATCATGAACGCCAGAGCTGAGACAGCAGCCGTGTTTGGCGAAGCCGAAGCAGTGATTCAGTCTCTAAGATCAGAGAACCAACAGCTAGGTGCCCAGGCCGCTGCGATTCAGGGTGAGTCGTATGCCGCCATACAGGCGCTAAGGTCCGAAAACCAGCAGTTGGGTTCACGCGCTTCGGTGATTCAGGGTGAAGCTGAAACGATGATCGGAAACCTCCGAACTGAGAATCAACAGTTAGGGGAGATGAACCGTGAGCTCAACCAGAGACTCGAAAAGCAAGCTAAGATGATCCTTGAGCAGCAAGAGTTATCTAAGGCTATGCATCAGCAGCTAATCGCGCTTCAGTCGCATGTGCAAGCTGCCGAACCAAAGAACCCAAGCATCCCTTCATCGGCTATCCCCGCGAGCTCTACCCAAAATGGCGCGGATCAGGCTGCGTCTGCATTCAACGCATTGCAGGCACTCGCGGGTGAAGTTGGGGGAACAATGCGAAGGATTGAACAGGCAATTGAGGTAGCCCTTAGTCCCAAAGCCAAAGCAAAGAAGCAGAAAGCTAAAGCCGAGGCTACAGCTAGGGCCATTGCACCATCAGTTGCGTCTCCAATTCCCGCTAAGGCTTCCGGTTCTAGTGGTTCGGTTGCCCCGGGTCCGGTTGAGTTTGGATTGCCACCGTACCAATGCGGCCGTAAGAGCATCTTCACGGGTAGATTGCATTCCGCAACACCCGCTTCTCCACCTCCTCCACCACAGAAGCTAAAGCCCCAAGTCTTCGACATAGCAGATGAAGATGACTTTGATGAGCATGGCGAAGATGAGGGTGATGAGGACGGAGAAGATTTCGAGGATGATCCAATCGTCCCCGTTGCGGCTCACGAGCCTGAAGATGACAGAGATTACGAGTCTAGCATTTATAAGTACAAAGACCTGAAAGACATCAAGCTTCCCCAAATTCCGGGTTCTAGCGTTGAGTTCAGGGCTTACCGCAATTCGGTGCTAACACAGATTGCGTCAATCGATTGCAGCGGCAAAGCCGTCCTGTTGAAGTGGCTTCAGAAGAGCCTTGATCCATCAGGGAGCATTGCATTGACACGGTCGCTTCAGCAGGATTGCGAGGGTTTGCCTAGACTTGATGGGTGGATCTCCGCATGTATCAGTGATGCGAAACACCTAAAAGGTGAATGGGGATTGCAAGCGCAGTCGTACTTGGAAAGGTGTCATGCGTCTGGAACGATGCCATCGGGTCGTGCACTCTTGTCCATTCTTAGCAGAAGATACCGGATAGATAAAGTGCGCGGGCCATTGGTGACACTACAATCCTTGTTCGATTTAGAACCTGACTCATTTTCCTACCAATCGCTTGTAGCCTTCAAACAACGCGTCGAGTACGTGTTGAATGGCTTACCGGAGCGGCAATGGCCGGATGCCGAAACAATGTTTTCCTGGATCTACTCACGGCTAAAGGGATGCAGGATGCTTTCACGCACAATTGATCGGGTCAAAGATGCCAAGCCGGGTTCCAAGCGTAGGACATTTGAGTACATTTGGAACGGGCTCGAAGAGGTTCTTTCAGAAGTGCGCGAGGATCGTAACGAGCAAGCGCTCAAGGATTCGCTCAAAGAGGATTCCAAACAGAAGCCGAAACCAGATGCAAATGCGAAAGCAGCCGCGGCCAAGGCTACGCCCGCCGCTCCTGCTGCAAAGGCAAATGCAAAGGCTAAGGCCAAAGGCCAAGGCAATGACAAGCCCCCGAAGGCCCCGAGCAAAGCAACTCCAGGAGTCACCGACGCCAATCGTGGTGCCGGTGAGGGTGCCAACAGGGACAAAGGCAAAGGTAAAGGGAAAGGCGGAGGTAAGGATGGCAAGGCTAAACCTCAGAAACCTCCAGCTGCAAAGGATTCGTCAGCTGAACAATCCGGCCAAAGGCCAGCGTGCTTCTTCTATCCAAAAGGAACATGCACTAGGGGAAAGGATTGCCCTTTTGAGCATGTAGATGCACCAAAGAAAGCTGCTCCATCAAAGGCCGCCCCAAAGGTGCCTGCCGGAGTCGCCATGTTAGCAGCCGCGTCGACGGGCGCGAGCGCATGCAACATCCCTTCATCATTTGTCCGCGGTTTCAAAGCCACATGTCGCTTGATCACCGCTCCCTTTCGTGTGTTTGCCCGCTTTGCGGCAGCACTTTCATTTGCATTGCCCGCAACCGTGCATCATTCGCATGATCGCATTGCCGCGACAGTCAGTAGACCTAACTGTTCAGGGGGGTCGTACTTCCTTGATTGGGTTGCTGATTCTGGGGCAGGGAGAAGCCTGCTAAGCCAATCCGCGCTTGCAGATCAGGGCATTTTGACTGATATGTTCAGCGATCACATCCGGTCAACCAAGCCGTTGCAGTTTGAAACCGGGAATGGTGTGACGAGCAGTGGCACCTTCCTTACTACAACGAGCGATGCCTTTGGATCAGTAGAATCCTATGTTCTGCAAAGCTGCCCGGTAGTGCGGTCTTTAGGCCAACTAGTAGAGTTGCAGCGAAAACCTTTCGTTTGGCTTCCTGGTAGCATGCCGTTCTTCGGTAGTGACGAAGATTGCGTCCAGATCACTTGGGATTCGGATCGTGTCATTTATGCCCATAAGGTTGATGACTATGTTCCGGTATTTCGTGAGCAGATCAGGTTTGGTGGTGATGGTTTGCACAGAGCCTTAGCCGCTGGTGAGTCTGCTCCGGCAGCCCCAGCAGAGGTTCCTGCGCCCGCTGTCCCAGCAGAGGACCCTCCTCTCCCAGCTCCCGCAGCACCCCCTCCACCTGATCCAGGGGAAGGTTCCGGTGCCGACGATGAGGGTGATGAGGATGCACCAACCAAGGCTCAGCGGCTAATCACTGAAGCCCAGAGTTTACAGCATCGCTTAACGCATATGCCAAAGAGCCCCTACTGTGATGTCTGCAGTCGGAGTCGAATGCTAAAGAAGCGAACGGCGAGGACGCGCTATGCAAAGTGTGATGATGAGTTAGATCCGGTTGAGGAGTTCGGTCAACGGATAGCGGCTGATTTCATCATAGTGCACAAAGACGCTAAAAGCACTGAAACCGTCGTCCTGACTGTGAGGGATGAGGCTACAGGGTACATAAGAGCTTTCCCGCTAGTGTCCAGGCACGAAGACGGGGTGGTACGATCATTGTTATCCTTTCTCGGTAGGCGCGCTTCTGGACCTTGTGTATTGTTCAAGAGCGACAATGCGCGAGAGCTCCTCGCCGCATGTGCGACATTGGGGTTTACTTCAGAACCAAGCCTTGAGCGTAGATGGCCTCGCAACTCAGTTCTCGAACGGGAGATCCGTACCATCGAGGAGTGTACAAGGGCTCTCCACATTGCGGCCGGTTTTCAGTTGCATTCGGGTCTTTGGGTTCACACTGTTCGCTATGCGGCACACACCATTAACCTTTTCCACCCTGCGGTCGGGATTGAGGGTTGTCGGTATGCGAACGCGATTGGATCCGAGTTTGGTGGCATGAAATTACAACTTGGTCAACTAGTCTATTACAGACTTGACCCGGCAAACCGTGAGAAGTTTCAGGCATCAGCAGCACCTGGTGTTTTCGCAGGTTGGCGGTTCGATAGCGGTCCATCATCATTCAGAGAAGTCTACTATGTCTTGGATTATGGTAAGCTAAAGAACCGTGAACCGGGGTACGAAAAGGCGATCTCCGTCCCTAGAGAGGAAATCCACGTTCCCCGCGGCAATCCCATCCTCCCGATGTTCACCGCTGCAGAAGCTGCTTTGTCTAGTTTCACGAAAGCCGAGTATGAAGCCATCGAATTTCTTGATGTGCCGTTCAGCACGGTAGCGCCGTCAACACCCGTTGCCAAGCGCCACGAGTACATTACTTTAGACAGACTTATGCGACTAGGTGCAACACCTGGTTGTAAGGCCTGCAAGTTCGATGGAACAGTACACACGCCAGTATGTAAGGCAAGATTTGATGGTTTGATTAAAGCCGAGAAGATTGCCGCGAGCAAGTCAGTCAGAGACGCTGCACCGCCTGATGTTGAGCGCCCTGATCCTTTGGCGGAGTCTGCACCCGCAGCCCCCGAGGGTGATGAGGATGCTCCAGAGCGCGCGAGCTCCTCTGCTGGCCCACGGGCTCCAGCTGGTGTTGTAGTTCAGTCTTCCGAAAGCAAAGTTCCAACAGGTGAGTTTGGTTTGAGTGCAAGGTTTCTCGCAAATGAGAGAGCGCGTAACAACACCAGAAGGGTGAAGGAACTTCCAGGGGAAAATGTTCTGATCGAGTACGGTTGTGAAGACGAGTCTGAGATAAGAGATGCATGTGAACGTTGTAAGGTTCATTGTGTTAGTCTGTCCCAGTCAACGCTGGACTTGACTTCGCAGGATGACATGCAGCAAGTTGTTTCCCAAGCAATCCCAGGTGTAGATGCTTGGTTCACCATACCATGCACACATATGTCTTCACATCAAGCCGTACATCGTGAGTCCC